CGTGGGGCACTGAGTCGGCCCCTGCGGGTTTCCATAGCCGCCGACAGAGTGATTTGTGCCACGGAGGTCCTCCGGGGATGTGTATTGGAGATTTTTGGGGTTGAGTTCCCGATCGACCTGATTCCTATTGCGATGGGTGATGTCTGTGTTATAGTGGGCATGGACTGGTTGAGCCGATTCGGCGCGGTTATCGATTGCGAGCGTCAGCTGGTGACTATACGAGATCCTAGTGGGGGAGTTCTTTCGGTTTACGGCGAGGGTACACGTTCTGGATCAGCCTTTTGTTCGGCTGCTAGGGCGAGGCAGTGTTTACAGCAGGGCTGTAAGGGTTTTGTGGCGTATGTGATGGATACGCGAGTGATCTCCGAGAGACCGAGTTCGGTGGATGAAGTTCCGGTGGTGCGTGAGTTTCCAGATGTCTTTCCCGAAGAATTACCAGGTGTGCCTCCCGTGAGGCAAGTGGAGTTTGGTATCGATTTGGTTCCGGGAGCCGCGCCTATCGCTAAGGTGCCGTATCGCCTTGCGCCTCCAGAAATGCAAGAGTTATCCTCGCAACTTCAGGAGTTGCTGGGGAAGGGGTTTATTCGGCCGAGTAGCTCGCCGTGGGGAGCACCCATCCTGTTTGTGAAGAAGAAAGATGGCTCGCATCGCATGTGTATTGATTATCGGGAACTGAATAAGTTGACGGTCAAGAACCGTTACCCGTTGCCGAGGATCGACGATTTATTCGATCAGTTACAGGGAGCATCTTGGTTCTCCAAGATTGATTTGAGGTCGGGCTATCATCAGGTGAGAGTACGGGACGAGGACGTCCAGAAGACAGCATTCAGGACGCGTTATGGGCATTATGAGTTTGTGGTGATGCCTTTTGGGCTCACCAATGCCCCGGCTGTGTTCATGGACCTCATGAACAGGGTATGTCGGCCGATGTTGGATCGGTCGGTGATTGTGTTCATTGATGATATTCTGGTATATTCGAGATCTAGAGAGCAGCACGAGGAGCATTTGAGGGAGGTTCTTGGAGTTTTGAGATCGGAGAAACTTTATGCAAAGTTTTCCAAGTGCGATTTTTGGTTGCGGGAGGTCCAGTTTCTGGGACATCTCGTTAACCAGAAGGGGATATTGGTCGATCCGGCCAAGGTTGACGCAGTGATGAGGTGGGAGGTGCCAAGGTCACCTTCTGAGATCCGGAGTTTCCTTGGGTTGGCAGGGTATTATCGGAGGTTTATTAAGGATTTCTCCAAGATTGCGGTTCCACTCACCAGATTGACCCGGAAGGGTGTTACATTTCTATGGGGTCCCGAGCAGCAGACCTCCTTTGAGACGCTTCGCCAGAGGTTGTGTGAAGCTCCGGTATTAGCTCTTCCGGAAGGGATGGAGGGTTTTGTGGTATTCTGTGATGCATCGATTTTAGGACTGGGAGCGGTACTGATGCAGAAGGGACATGTGATAGCATATGCATCGAGGCAGTTGAAGCCTCACGAGACGAGGTACCCCACACATGATCTGGAGTTGGGGGCAGTGGTGTTCGCCCTCAAGATTTGGCGGCACTACTTGTATGGGGTTCGTTGTACGATTTACACGGACCATAAGAGCTTGAAGTACCTGATGGATCAGCCTAACCTAAACATGCGGCAAAGAAGGTGGTTAGATGTGGTCAAGGATTATGATTGCGAGATTTTGTACCACCCGGGCAAGGCTAATGTGGTAGCCGACGCATTGAGTCGCAGGGCGGAGAGTGCTCCACTGCGAAATGTATGTTTGCGACTGACTGTGATAGCTCCAGTTCTGGACGCCATTCGTGGGGCACAGGCCGAGGCTGTGCGTCCGGAGATGCAGAAGAGAGAGCGGGTCGTTGGGTTGGTTTCGGAGTTCGTATCGGATAGTCGAGGCCTTATGACTTATCAGGGCCGGATCTGGGTACCGTTTGTAGGCGGTACACGTACTACATTGATGGAGGAGGCTCATAGATCGAAATTTTCGATCCATCCCGGGGCTACAAAGATGTATTTGGACCTAAGGAAGGAGTATTGGTGGCCTTGTATGAAGAGGGATGTCGCATGGTTTGTCGAGAGGTGTTTGACCTGTCGAAGGGTAAAGGCCGAACACCAGAGACCGCATGGCAAGTTGCAGCCATTGGAGGTTCCCGAATGGAAGTGGGAACAGATCACTATGGATTTCATCACCAAATTGCCGAGGACTGCCAGAGGAGTCGATGCAATTTGGGTGATTGTGGATAGGTTGACGAAGAGCGCTCACTTCCTTGCCATCAGTGAGAGTTCTTCGGCGGAGAAGTTGGCGGAGATTTATGTGAGGGAGGTTGTATCTCGGCATGGGGTGCCGATCTCGATCGTTTCAGACCGCGATGTGCGTTTCACCTCCCGCTTCTGGAAGAAATTTCATGAGGAGTTGGGTACTAAGCTGCATTTTAGTACCGCATACCACCCCCAGACCGACGGCCAGAGTGAGCGGACGATTCAGACACTTGAGGACATGCTTCGGGCATGTGTATTGGACTTTGGGGGTAGTTGGGATACGTATTTGCCTTTGGCGGAGTTTTCCTACAATAACAGCCATCATTCGAGCATCGGTATGCCGCCCTTTGAGCTGTTGTATGGTAGGAGGTGTCGGACTCCCATATGTTGGGGAGAGGTTGGGCAAAGGGTAATGGGCAGTACGGAGATCGTGAATCAGACGACAGAGCAGATACAGCTGGTCAGACAGAGGTTATTGACCGCTCAGAGCCGACAAAAGAGTTACGCGGATAGACGCCGGTCCGAGCTGGAATTTCAGGTCGGCGACTTTGTTCTCCTGAAGGTCTCTCCTTGGAAAGGAGTGATCCGGTTCAGGAAGAGGGGCAAATTGGGGCCCCGGTTTATAGGTCCGTTTCGTGTGATCGAAAGGGTAGGGGTAGCCTATCGGCTGGAGTTACCAGCAGAGTTGGGGCAGATTCACAACACTTTTCATGTATCGCAGTTGAGGAAATGTATAGCCGACGAGTCGGCAGTGGTTCCATTAGAGGATATTCAGGTAGATGCAAGCCTGAATTATGCTGAGAGACCAGTGGCTATTAGGGATCGGAAGATCAAGATTTTGAGGAACAAGGAGGTACCTCTGGTATTGGTACAGTGGCAACATCGGAAGGGATCAGAAATGACCTGGGAGCCGGAGGGTATGATGCGGGAGCAGCATCCGGAGCTATTTTAGAGCGAGACTTCGAGGGCGAAGTCTAGTTCTAGTGGGGGAGAGTTGTAACATCCGGATTTTACCAGGTATCTTGTAAATCTAATTTTGTCATATTGTGAGAGGGACTCGGCGAGTTGGAGCTCAGACTCGCCGAGTAGAGACGCGGAATTGAACATTGGTGCGCGCCTGGACTCGGCGAGTCCAGGATATGGACTCGGCGAGTCTGCGCTGTGTAATGAAACCCTAAATCTCCGGGTTTGAGGCCTATTTAAAGGGCCTTATGGCCGTCATTTGTGCTCACCCAACCCTCAGTGAGTGACCCTTGTGTTCTTGAGCTATTTGTGAAGAGAAAGGAGCCATTCTTGATCTTGTGTGTGTTATTTAGCAAGAAGAAGGAGACCCTAGGCAAGAGGAAGCAAAGGAGGTTGCTATTTCGTGGATTTGGAGCTTAGATCATCACTCTAGAGGTATTATCTCGGACCATTTTCTGTTTAGTGAAGCATGATGCAATTTAGGGCTTGTGGTGGTCATTTATGGGATGATTTGATGCCCATTGGTTCCCTCTTTGAGTTGAGGCCATGGATCTGGATCCATAGAGGTCCAGAGAGCCTCACTCATCAAGCTTTATGAGTGACAATAGAGTCTTTGACCTTGTGTTGTAGTATTTGAGTCATAAACATCATATATGGTCATATAGAGGTTGTATGTGCATCAAGATTGTAACTTTACGTGCTAAATGAGCTTGGAGGGACTGGATCTATGGATTAATGAACTGGATCTGACCTTTAGAGCAAGATTGAGTCAGTGCATGGCATGGACTCGCCGAGTCCGAAGAACAGACTCGGCGAGTAGCATGAATGTTGCCCGACCACTCTGTGAGTGGCCTCGCCGAGTTGGGAAAGGTGGACTCAGTGAGTCAAGGGGGAGTCAGAATGGACAGGTGGACTGAGTCTAACTGGACTCGCCGAGTTGTTCTTGAGACTCGGCGAGTTGAGTCGTGGTGGCCCCACAACTCGTGCCAGGTGGAACTCGTCGAGTTGAGGGAATGCTCGACGTGTCAAGGGAGGATTCCAGGGAAATTGGTGTATACGCCCAGACTCGCCGAGTCGCCTGGGTACTCGCCGAGTCCGGTCAAAGTTGACCGTTGACCGTTGACCAGCGTTGACCTAGATTGACTTGTTATAGTGTGGTCAACCCTAGTGGGAAAGTGTTAATTAGAGGTGTATTGTGCTATAGGGGGACGACAGCTCGACAGGTCGAGTGATTAGCGATTTCAGGTTTACGATTTACCGAGACACGCGAGGTGAGTCTTCTCACTATACTTTACCTTGAGTAGGTAACCAGAGTTATGTGATAGAGTATTTGTATGCTATGTATGTTATGTGTTGTACTGCATTACTTCTATGTGTTTGATGCTGTGCATGTTTACAGAGTTAGAACCGGAAGGTTCACAGAGTTAGAACCTGAGGGTTCACAGAGTTTGGGTGCACGGACCCACAGAGTTATAGCCTCGAGTGGCTAATATGTGTTATATGTAGTATTTTGGGGAACTCACTAAGCCTTGTGCTTACAGTGTTGATGTTATTGTTTTAGGTACTAGTGACGACCGCGGGAAGGCGCCGACTTGATCCGTACACACACACGGAGCTTGATATTATGATCTTGGGATTTTGTATTGTCTTGTTTGGATAATTAAAATGGTTGTTTAATGAATATCAATGGAATTATATTTTATAAAAATTGAAAAATTTGTTCTGAAAATTTTCGGTGTTACACTTCCTTTGGAACTTGAAGGTGAAAACCGGGGCTTCGAGATGGCTTTTCGAGGTAATTACGCAGAGTAACAACCCTTAGATGGAAAGAGATGAGCACCAAACCCGACACCCTTATGCTTCTATTTATAGGAGCATTTCTGGTGTGTCACGTCGTGGCCATCTGTGCCACGTCGTGGTGAGCAAAATCTTATCCTATTCCATTGATGGGATGCCCTCAGTCACTTGCCGGGTCGCGGCATACTGAGCCACGTCGTGGCAGACCTGATAACCTCAGATTTTGAGTCTTAAATTTGTAAAATCCGTAACTTTCGTGTACGAGCTCCGTTTTTGACTTTCTTTATATGCACACGTAGGTGAGAATATAATCTACAACTATCATTTAGACTTTGTCGGCTGATTTTGAATGTATTTTTAATTATTTATTTTTAACAGGCTGGGACTGGAAAAGCCTGTTAAAAATCCATAAGTTCTTCACCCGGTGTCCGTTTTAGCCAGACTTTTTACCGTTGCACTACTTTGGTTGAGACCTTCGATTCTTATTTAGGTTGTTTTGGCCACTAGTCTCTCGATCTCTATTTCAAGTTTTTAGTTGTCTACTGCTATATCCGGATCTTGGAAAAATCATAACTTCTTTATACGAAGTCTGATTTGGACGTTCTTTTTATGTACGCTCACGGTTTAATGATATGTACAACTTTCATTTAGATACCTAAGGCTAAAATGTATTGCATCGACACTTCGCGTTTTTACGTATATCCGTATTCCGGTTTTGTTGGGAATCTTAGAATGTTTATAACTTCTTCGTTATGACTCGGATTTTAGTGTTCTTTATATGTATGAAAACCTTGATATGATTCCTACCACTTTATTTAACCCAACAAAGATTTTAGGAAGGTTATATTTTGACCTAAATTTGACTGGTGTTACATTACATTGTCTTGAAATATCGGGTTGTAACATCATTCCCCCGTTTGAGAGAATTTTGTCCCGAAATTAGAGTTTAAGCAGAATTGGTAATGATGATACACTACTAGGAAAACATACCTTTAATGACACGCTTTTTACGACACGCACTGATTAATGATATGCAAAAGGGCGTGCCCTATAAATAATGCCAGATCTTTAGAAATTTGAAGAATTTAGGTCGCGCATTTGTACGTGCCCTAAAATTAGTGTCTGACAAAAAAAACACACGGAGGGCACTTATGTTAAACGCGTTTTGTCTAGAAATGTCGCTTTATAATTTTACAAACGCGCTCTACAGCAACTAGCAGCGGGAAAAAGAAAATCAAAAAAATTAGAAAACCCACCTTCCTTCCTTGTTTCCCCTCTTTAGCTTTGGGTGTGTTATTTTACCAAAAAAATCTTCTCCGGTCTTCCTCCACCTCCCTACATCGAGTGTTGCTTGCTTCTTTCCCTTGCACTCCGACCGCCGCCACCGATTCTTCCCCGTTCGTTGACATCGATCAAGGAAATAAGAACACCATCTTCCATTCTCTCTTGCTGATCGAGACATTTGAGTATATACATATTTACATTACGCCTTCAACAATTGAAACCCTAACACTAGTTGTTCCTCAGTTATATGCACTACACTATTTAGGTAGTGAATTGACTTGTTTTCTGTGTCCATTATCCTCATCACAAAACGACATCAATTCTAGGGATTTTTTCACAAAATCTCATCCTGTATCCTCATTCCACACGATGGCAAGAACGCTTAACAACGGTGGCGACCTTGATGAGTCTCGCTTCACCTCGTCGGCAACCTCCTACTTACCTCACCTTATCGGCGAATCCAATTCCCCTCTACCTTACTCCAACTCGATCGGACTCACCTCACTTACTTTTACCCACTAGAACCACCATATCTCCCACTCGATGTTGAAATTGTCAGAAAAGCCCTATTTCAGTATTATAATCTTAAGGCTCAATATTAGGAATGAAAATATTGATTCTCATTTGTTTCTGATTCCCCACAGATAAATCGAAAAACACACAAATGAAGAACAGTAACTTTGCTCCATTAGCTTCCCGATTGCATCTCGTCATCACCTTTGAAACTTCTGTATTAGAGAGCCAGGTAATCAATTTATTTTTCATTTCTTCACATACTTTTTTCTAGTTTTGAATGATTTGGTGGTTCCTATGTAAAAATTGGGACCGTATCCTACAAAAAAATTGAACATGCTTGAATAGAAAGCGAATCTGAATCTAGCACTCTCGATATGATTATTACTGCTTCTAAAGTTGACTTCATGGATGTTTTCAAAACGAAATGAATTTGTCTGATGAATTTGTCGACTTATATTTGGAGGAGAGATCTCGTTAATTTTCCCCCTTTTGATTTTCTGTTGCAAACCAAAATTCAATTCAACAATCGGGAACCTCCGTTGTTGATCTTAAGAATTTTAAGCAGCAATGGCTACCAGATACTGGATAGTTTCTCTTCCCGTTCAGAGTTCTGCTTCTTCTTTGTGGAGTCGCTTACAAGAATCCATCACAAAAAACTCATTTGATGGTCGGTTTTGATTTAAGGTGGATAGCTAAAAACGTTGAGTGCAATCAGTGTATTGTTTGCTTATTATTGTGATAGTGGCACTTTCTCGCTGACTTGTAAAAATTCAAACAGAATTAGAGGTACGTGATTTGCAATCTTGTAGATTCACATTTTGCTTAGGTATTTATAATCAATCCTATTTCATTTTTCATCATATTAAGTGTCTTCCATTGGCGTTGCTTGTCTTATCACTGATCCGTAACCTGACCAGCAGACAAATTAATCCTCATTGACCATCATGTAAATATTATGTGCAGGCATATCAAGTGCCATTGCAGGAATCCTAATCATGTTGTTGGTGATGTTCTTTCAAATAAAAAGATGGAAAAATCGAGGTCTCATCAGACCACATAGAAAACCTCAATTATTGGTAAGAATCTCCACATACCACAATAATGTCTTAAATTTCATGATTCCCAACCTAATGTAGCATCTGGTAATTTGGACAACAGGGAACCTCTAGAAATCAGCAAATAGAAATATTCATGCGGGACTACAGAGTTATAACTCCAAATAGATACAGATATTCAGAAATAACGAAAATGACAAACTCATTCATTGAAAAACTAGGAGAAAGAGCCTATGGAACTGTCTACAAATGATAATTACCTAGATGGGCAACTAGTTGCAGTAAAGCTTTTGGGCAAAGCCATGGGAGATGGAGAAGACCCGGTGCATCGGGTGGGTATAAGGAGAGCAACAGATAAACATTCGGACATGTGTTAGGTCAGTTCTTTTGTACCCTTTTCTGTTATAGTTTTGGGTATTTCAGTTTGTTTGATCTCTGTTGGCATCCAGGTATGTCAAGGGATTTTTTAATCTCAATTGCATCTCAAATGTCAAGGCCAAATCTAGGTTCAGATGAACAAGTTGTTCAGTTACCTGTTCAGGTTTCAATTTAAAAAAAACAAAATAAATTGCTAATTCTTGTTATATTAAAATTGAATTATTTATATTATGGTTGTACAGGTTTTGACGCTGCAAGCTTCACTATAGTGCTTTCTGTTATGAGGAAAATAAGGTAACTCATTTATCTCTTTCTCCCCTTATCATATCATGATAATAATTGAATTAAAAATGAAAAGAACTCAAGGTTAACTCATTTATATGTTTAATTACCTCTTTGCCCTTGTTGTTTCTTTCAAAATGATCTTCTTTTACCCTTCAAATCCTTGGTGCTAAAAAAAAGCCCTTTTCAGGTCAAATATCATTATCCACAACCACTAAAACTTTCAGCTAAAAACAATTAGATATTAATGTTGATCTTGTACCGATTTTAATGTTGATGGTGTAATGGTTGATTTCTGGTGGAGTACATTTGAAGCATATGTTCCACAGGAGTATAACTAGAAGGGATATAAACGGCTATTTTAATATGGACTGGCTCTTGTCCAAAAGACCTGAATGCCCTCCTCAAAAAAAGCTTTGCCTAATTGGAGTGTTATAAAGATATAAAAATGTAGCAACATATAAGGTTGTATTGTTTTAATATTATTAGGAATGTGCAGATATGTTAGGCATTTTCTATATATTTGGAAGCTGTTGTTATTCTCCCACAGTTGGTTCTGCTGCAGCGAACTGGAAATGTTGACAATTTGACCGGTTAATATGTTTTCTTTCTTGGGTATTCTCCCTTCTATATTTTGGCATGATATCATTATGAAGCTGGATAACCATGAAAAATGGTTTTTTAAATGATCAAAAATAGTATAATAATCATTTAGAAAATAGGATGCTATGAATGAAAATCTGTTTGTTTGCATTGTATTGTTAGGGCATACCGTGCATTGTATATTCTCAACTGGATTTGTCGGTATCTCACACAACCCCATTTCAATGGATGGATATGTAAGTTAAAGCTTTTCTCTTATTCTTATTGTCTATACATGTATTTCATTTGACCTTCGTTTTGTTTGTTTTCAACCTATTTCTCTGGCTTAATACAAACAACTCTTTATGCTGATTTCTTCTACTATTAATTCATAAGGTACTCAACCTCCATTCCCATTCTTTATCTTCTGTCTTTTACTTTAAGCATAATCATAATAACAGAGGATTTATGAGGAAGGGAATTTACGACTTTACTCTTCGCCTGGGTGGCAGTGGGACAAAATTTGCAATTTTCCAGACTGAATAAGACTACTACTACATTACATGACCATGACCATGAGCATGTCCATGACCATTTAATACTTTCTTTCAATAAACCAAGTTTCAGAATATTTATTCAGATGAAATGAATATTTTTAGGAAGAAAGACAAATAGGTGAAAAGTTAATAAGTCTAAGATAGGATTTTTGGTTATTATTCTTTCTCATTCTATACATAATAACTTCTTAGCACATTCCCCTTCCTTAGCTTATTATTAGCTAAACGAAATCAAATACATTAGGTTCTTATTCTCATCTCATGTGTATGTGTACGTACAGTTGGAAAAGCAATTCCAAGCTTTAATTGCCAGCATGAGCATCACCTACCTGGCTTGGCGTTTGAAGCTTCAATTGCCAGCATGAGCTTCAAATGCCAGCATAAGCATCACCAAGCTTCAATTCCCTTTCTACCCTTCACTTGCAGGTCGATGATTTGTCAAGAATGTTCAGACTATTTTCCAAAAATACCCCATGGATTGGATCCTATCTCTAGTATGCTTAAAAACGTTTGCTATTTAGGAGTTAGATTCTATTTTTTTAAGTAGAATGCAGTTATTTGTATTTGTTGTCATCTGTTTTTATCTTTTTGACACAATGCAGCATGTTGCTGCTGAAGGCACAACCTTGGTCAAACAGGCAGAAGATGCTGCAAGTAATAAGAGATTGCAGGTTGATCCTCCTACATGGCCAATAATGATCTTTAGGATCTGCTAGAAGGATTGGAGATTGCAGTTAAGCTTCTATCTAAGACTTCACCCCAAGGACCTGATGAATTTAAGCTAGCAATGTTTTACTTGATTTGGAAATAAACCCTAAGATATCATATTTTGGCATGGCTAGAAGCTTTGGAGGAAATAAGACTCAAGCAAAAGTAAACACACAAAGAGTTGTTGGCACATAGTAAGCTAGATAATGCAATTGTATATAAATGAGTTCATTTTTTTATAACATTTACTCACTATTTGAATAATTATTTGTATTTGACATATTAGTGAAAGGAATTATCATTGTTATTTATGGTATTTTATTTTGTATTATTAGATTTTTAATGTATTATTTAATTTGAAAATTAGTAAATCTATAAATAATACTTTTTTTAAACATTTAAAATTATGATACGCAAAAATGTGTGTCATCTTCATTTATGACATGGCCTTTCTTGACAGGGGCTTTCTTGATACGCATTGCGTGTCATTAACACGCGCGCCATAAGGTTATGACACGCGAATGCGTGTCATCTTCCTTTATGAAAGGGCCTTCCTTGATACGCATTGTGTGTCGTAAATGAGCGTCATAAATGTTCGTCGTCTATAGACGACGCGCAAAAGCGCGTCGTCTTCCTTTATGTCGGGGCCTTCCTTGACGCGCATTTGCGCATTGTCTGAGCCTTTTACGACACGCAATGAGCATCGTAAAAGGCTGTTTTTCTAGTAGTGATATAGATAGAAGTTTTATTTGCTCCTCGTGTTCCCAAGTGAATTCGGTTCCTCGCTTCGAATTCCAACGAACCTCTCACTATTGGGATACGACTTCGCTTCTTTTGTTTGACTTTACTGGTATGATAACTCTTATTGGTCGAATGTATGTTGAATTTTTTTAGTGGTATATGAAAATAGTACAACTTGTGCCCTACAAGTAGTGTCTCCAGATCTTCAGAGCAATTATCACTGCTCCTGACATCAAGATCATGTGTTGTATAGTTAACTTCCTGCATCTTAAGCTGTCTTGAGGTACAGGCAGTGACATTTCCTCTTGCATAAGAACACAACCAAGCCCTTGGTTGGATGCATCGCATTTCACCACGAAATCTTCTATCCCTTTTGAGAGAGATAATATCGGTGCGGTGCGCCAGGCTTACTTTAGCATTTAGAACACTCTTTCTTGTTTATAGACAAGTCCGGTGCTCCTCAAGGTGAGAAACTTGGCCTAAGGAATCCTCTTATGAGGAGTTCGTTAAGCTATTTGGGAAGTTCCTGTATCTTAGTTGGATCTAGACGATAAGGTGATTTGGCGATTGGGGTAACCCTTGTAACTAAGTCGATTCTGAACTCAAATTGACGTTGTGGTGGTCATCCCGGTAGTTCTTCTGGAAAGATGTCTTGTAAGTCGCGTAACTCTGGGATGTTCTTAATGTCTAGCTCTTCTTGGCTCACATCGACGGTGTATGCAAGGAAGGCGTGATATTCCTTTCGTAAGCGCTTTAGAGCTTGAATACACGAAATGATGCGAAGGTTCATACTTGATTTGTCTCCGTAAATAACAAGAGGTTCTTTGATAAGGAGGTTAAGATGAACTGCTTTCCCAAAGCGTTTGATATCAGCTTGATGTAGACTCAACCAATTCATACTGATTATGACGTTAAAACCTTGTGGTTGATTAGATGTCGTGAAGATCTAAAAGAAAGTATGATTACTCCTGAATTAAGGAAAAAGGATAGGTACTTCTAAGTTTCTTCGTATGGCAGCACGATCACTCGTATTCTTAGGTAGTCTCCATCCTAAAGTTCATATTAGAGCTCATACCTGTTTCATCAATCACAGTTTCGCGTATACGAGTCATATATAATTAAGATCGAAAAGCTAGTTGAATAAATCGTGACAACTATCAATTTCCGGTCAAGTCAAAGTCAACAAGTCAAACAGGTCGACTCACTTAACCCTTGTGTACTAGGGCTTACGTTAGGTAATTTCTGTACAAATCACTATTATGATGAGAAAACACCATTTGTAAAATCTATGTGATTGAATTTCCTAAGCCTTAAATATGGTAAACAATGAACCAAAGCAATAAAACACTAATGCACACTCATCGGGAGTGTGTAAGACACTAAAACATGGCGTAACGGGGTTTACGAACATTGCATTGCGAAGCCGGACACTCAAAAATGTCACAGACAAAGCCTCTCTCAATCATTTGCACTCTATCTCTCTGTGTGAGAAATCAATCCAAGTTTGGGAAATATCTCCCAAATCTCTCCAAGAATGTGAAATCTCTCCCAAATCTGTTTTTGTATGAGGAATCTCTCCAAGTATGTAAAATCTCTCCCAAATCTCTCTCTGTATGAGGAATCTCTCCAAGTATGGATAATCTCTCCCAAATCTCTCTCAAAATTTCCTTAAACTCTTTATAGTCTTTTGGGCCATCCCGACCGGGTCAAAAACGTCTTGAAACGGGTTAAAAACGAGTAAAATAGCCTTTAGAGGCGGAAACCTCTTAGCAGCCTTAACATCTTAGTAGCTGAAACCTCTTAGGAGCCGAGCCCTTCTATTGGAACCGAAACTAGGAGGAACCGAAGCTGAGAAGAGCCGAGAGTAGGAGGATCGAGCCTCGTTGCCCAGCCGGACCGAGCCTCGCCTTCGGCTGTTCAACTCCTAGGACTGAACCTCACAAATAGCCACCGAGACCGAGCCTCGCCCTCTATTCCTTCTTCTCGCACTCTCGGCCTCCTCTTCTACTTTCGGTTCTAAACATCAGGAACCAAACCTCCGGCCCAGACTTCAAATTTTTGCGTATTTTTCCGGTTTTTGACAATTTTCACATTTTGTGCCCGTTTTTCGTGATTTTAACGCGGGATTTTCACCCAAAACTCGTATTTTAACATAATAATCCCAAAATATTCATATTTAAATTATATTTTGGGGAAAATCCTTGCCTAAGAATAAAGTATATTAAGTTAGATTTTGGGGTAGAGTGTTGACTTTGCCTTAGTGTAATACACAAGCAACCCTCCCATACCCACTTTATGTCACTATTCACCATCAGCTCTCAACTATTCATTGTACTTTTTATATTTCCTCAACAAGCTTTCTTACTTACACACACAAAGGATCATTATCCTTCACATCCAAGACCACATTCACTTTTACCAAAAAGCAAAAAACTCATTCTCTCTCACTTCCTCACTCCGAGAACTCGAAATTCCCTGGATGTTTTGAGCTTCCCAGACATCTTTGGTAAGTAAACATCATCCTACGCTTGGTTATTTTTACACTTCTTCATCCAAATCAAGGGTTCCTTATGCAAATATCACCATATTTGTTGTTAGATCTTCGAATCTTCAAGCATCATCTAAGTGTTCTTGAGTTGAACACTTCTTTTATCCATCATCCATCTACTGAAATCACTTAAGGTGAGTTCATACCCCTATCTTTTCATGTTTTCTTAAGTTTTAATGGGGGGGGGGGGGGGAGGATACAAGTTAAAACACCAAGAACACCACTAAGCTCTTCTAACAGCTTTCAACAAAAAAATTAATGCTCATTCATAGACTATTTTAGTCAACTTAAATATTTTTGTTTTCAAAACTGTTTTACCTGCAAATAGTTCAAGGTTAGACCTTTAAAGTGACTACTTTCACATCTCGAAACAATTTTTCTACGATTTACGGTGATTTTTACAAAACTATCTATCATTTCAAAAAGCAATCAGGACCAGTCTGTGATTATGGACGTTTTCACACATGTTGGAGACCATTAAAAATCATGAGAAAAATTATGAATAAACTAGACACATTTCTTGGAATCCCAGAATTTACAGAACTAGTTTTCGACTTCATATGATTTTTCTAGGATTTTTCTAAAATAGCGCAGAAAGGTTAAAAATCTAGTTCAGAGTTTATAACTTTCATCGCACTTTGTAACTTGTTGAGCAAAGTGTTAATATTGAAGATTTCATATTTTACATGTGTTTCTTGATGTGGTATGATTACATAACAAATAAGTACTAACTGAAGTGTAAGAATCCTCCTCCATTACCATTAGTACAACACAAGAATGATAAACATAGTTATATTTTGCCACACCTTCGACTTACGTAGAAAAGGGTTCTTATACACCACAAACAAACGTACTACACTATACTAGGTATAGTTAGGTCGCATATACATTACAAACATTTTGATAACCTATAATAGGTATAGTTTATGTTCATTTACATTACAAAAGGTTTATACAAAATGGGTACTCACAAGGTACCAGGTGTTCATATAAATGGGATACGAATACAAAGTACCGAGTTTATACAAAATGGATACATCATAAAGTACCGGGTCTTTATATAAATGGGGTACGAATACAAAGTACTGGATTTATACAAAATGGGTACATCACAAAGTTCCGGGTCTTCATATAAATGGGGTACGAATACAAAGTACCAGATTTATACAAAATGGGTACATCACAAAGTACCGGGTCATCATATAAATGGGGTACCAATACAAAGTATCGGATTTATACAAAATGGGTACATCACAAAGTAACAGGTCTTCATATAAATGGGGTACGAATACAAAGTACCGGGTTTATACAAAATGGGTACATCACAAAGTAACAGGTCTTCATATAAATGGGGTACGAATACAAACTAGTGGGTTTATACAAAAAGGGTTTTCATGTTGATCTAAAACCACTTTTAATAACAATAGGTACATATTTTACTTGTACGCTTTTAGTCTCAGTACTTGAGATCACATAACACAAAACTCACACGTTCATCTAGTCTTGGGTTTTAGGACTACATATCATTTTTATAAGGAAAATATTGGATTTTCTAGAACAAACATGACATTTAGAAGAGAAAGACTTTTATCAACTTTTAAAACAAAAGCTTATGAACTCATGAACTTAATTGTTGACACTTTTTCAAAACTACTTGTATTATTAGGAAATCAGTGAAAAAGGACAACCAACAACATTTTGAGGATGGCACAATAAATCGTCAAACAGTTTATTTTGTCATCATATTGTAATTGATTTGAAACATGTAAACTTATACTTGGGTGTAACTTTTTCAATTATATTTATGATGGTTGTATTTACTTTGAGCACTATTATACACGTTGTTGTGATACTATACATGAAGTCCTCCACCCCCGGATGTTTCCGCCAGCCTTGGTTTTGGGGTGTGACATAAATGATTC